GGTGTTTTTCAAAAGCGTAATTTTTTGTTATATCTTTCCACTCATCTCGTATTCTCTTTCTCTTTTTTTTTTCTCTCACTCTATCTATCATTTATATATCTCTGTCACCACACCTCCGCCCCCTCTCTCTCCCTCTCTCTCTCTCTCTCTCTCTCCCTCTCTTTCTCTCTACCCCTCTCTCTCTTTCTCTCTTTCTCTCTCACTCTCTCCTTAAATTCCTTATTTATTTACTCTTTTTTTTTGTCAATAAAGTTCCTTCTTTTTCAGTTCATCATTTATTTTAAGGGTTGCCCGTCTCTCATTTTTGATCATCCCAATTTCCCACCCTCTTTGCATTCCCTCTGGACTTTTTCTTAATACAAAATATCCCATTCCTACCCCTAAACCCACGTTTTATTCTTAATACTCATTTTCTGTAACTGTTGAAAAAATATAAAATACAATAATTCCTAACAGCTCTAACCTACAGTCCAATCAATTTTGAGAGGCATTCAGGAAATATAAGAAAACATAAAAGACTGAAGGGAAAAAAAGCACCCTCTTTCGCCTTGTCCAGAAGCAGGTCAATTTTCTCTATTCATTCCCCGGCTACAGCCTCTTCAACCGTTCTCTATTTTAATTCATCTCCCTCTCCTACCACCGCAAAAAAGAGAGAGAGAGAGAGAAATAAAAAGAAGAAAGCTATAATACTCATCTCGCTAACAATATCAGAAAATATGTTATTTTTCCCCCGCATCCCGTCTTGGCTTCTTAATTGTGTAGCCACTTCGAGGCAGGGTAGAGAGAGACCCAATCAACGCTCAAATGTCTTCTTCTCCTTCTTTAACCCTATTTGCTGTGTTTTTCAAGCCTCGCTTAGCATGAAAACGCCCGGGTCGGTGCGATGCCGCCTCTATTCAAATCGCTCTGCATCACACTCACTCACTTTCTCTCTCTCATTCCTCTCTCTGTCTCTCTCTTTCTCTCTCTCTCTCTCTCTCTCTCTCTCTCTTTCTTTTATTTTTTTCTCTCTCTCTCTGGCAATCTCCTCCCTTTTCACAACGACGTTACAACGTGGAGGATGGCTATTGCTGTTTCTATGACAACGAATCATCGCCTCTTTCTCTTTCTCTCTTATTCACCGCATCCTGCATGAAGTATCCCGTCTGCTCACACGCGATAGAGTGAGAGATGGAAAAGAGCTTCTTACTTACTCTCTCTCTCTCTCTCTCTCTCTCTCTCTCTATCTCTCTCTCTTTCCCTCTCTCTTTCACTATGCTTGCGTCTATCTGTCTCTCTCTGTCTCTGTCTCTGTCTCCTCATGTTTCATCCTTCTGTATTCACCTTATTCTGCATATAGTAAGTATCCCGTCTCCTCACATGCAATGGAGGGAGAGATAGAAAGAGGTTCTCATTGTTATTCGCTCCCTCCCTCTCTACCTATCTCCCTCTCTACCTATCTCCCTCTATATCCTCCTTCTTTCACTCTCTCTCTCTCTCTCTCTCTCTCTCCCTCTCTCTCTCTCCCTCTCTCTCTCTCCCTCTCCCTCTCACACCCACTCTCTCTCTCTTCTAATTCGAACCATACCTTTTCTGCCGCGCGCACTGATCAGAATACAGATTAACGAAATTAATTTTCTGATTCGTCCTTTGACTGTAAAAGCAGAACATCGAACCAAAAGATGGCCTGATACCAAACTGAACAAGAGACAGGGAAAAGAAAAGAAAAACGCACGATTTTTGAGGCGTATTATTTCCCTCGGTCATTCCTAAGGCGAGGGGAGTTCGCATCGCTGTCCGTAATGATTTGATATATTCAATCAATTTATTACGCTGTCTTGCTCGCATGTTCATAGAAAGAAACAGGGGCGAAACAGAAAATATTGTTACCATGTTGAAAATATGACAGTGTCTCTGCCTTCGGATGCCTTTTGCTTACGGCTGCAGCGAGAAAGAGAAAGAGAGAGAGAGCGAGAGTGTGTGTGTATGTGTGTGTGTGTGTGTGACATTTTAAACCTTGTGACGACAAATCGATGCGGCCCCGCCCCTAGCTACCAATGGAATTTTTGCCGGAAAGGGCGGAAGAATGTAGTAGCCTCGACAGTCCCACGCCACAAAATGAAATTAAGAACGCTATGAAATAGATAAATATCTGGAGACAGTGGTGGATCTAGATTTTAAACCTGACAGGTAAGAAAGAATGTGTACATAAATATGTGTACCAGGGGACCTTCGGCTTTAAGTTCTCTCCGAGGGGACTTGGTAGCGAGAAGTAATGCCTTACTAATTAAGGACATGAGCTCATCCATTCGGTTTAGAACCCGGAAGCTCTAGGTTACAAGACCACTGCTCTACCGCTGACGCATTGTATCTAATTAGCACACCATTACACAATAACAAAAAAATTGCCCCTAAATTTTGAAAAAATTTCCGTAATTTGCACCCATCCTGTAATCATAACATCTTGGATACGCCTCTACCTGGCGAGACAAAGACAAGATGAATTGCCAGACCTGCCAACAGTTTTTTGTTTAATTACATAAATAAGAAACAAACCTATGATGTTTCAAAATTGCGGATAAAGCTGTCAATTGTCATTTTTAAGTTAATTTATTTATAACGGAATTGCCAGAATGTAATAACTGTCATAAAAATCAGCTTAAGACAATTTCAATAGCCCTGTTATTACCTATGACGTCATCCGAACGTGACAATTTAAATCTACATGTACTGTGTCGTTATTCTTCACTTTGTACGAATCTTAAAGGGCAATCCAACCTTAGCAGACAATTTCTCTTAAGCCCCTCTGCACTGGTTGGCCAGGAGGGATTAAACCTCCCTACATGGTCACTGACAGGTGGTTATTTCATCAAATCAGCTCTCAATTAACATAAGAAAGAGGGGATCATGGGGGACAAACGATCACCGATTAGGCATTGACTGCGATATAGGGGGCACAAGTAACTATACGTAGTGCAGTGGGGCTTTAAAGAAAGCAGAAAATCAGAGAAGCAGATTAGTAAAAGTTTGAATTAAATCGGGAAGAAAAAACAAGTTTTAATATTTTTTTTAAAGTTGTAATCACTATACATATTGGCGATTTTATTTGGCTGAATCGGTAATGTAATTTTAGAGGACCTAAAATAAAATGCTATCCATAATATATTTTAAGTACTGCCCCCAAGTGAGGAGGCACGTAGGGGAAAAGATAAATTAATGACATCTTTGTTCACGATTGGTTAAAACTAGGCCTAAACATCCATTCGATTGATGTATAGTTGTCCTGAATATGGCACGTTCCACCCGCTATAAGTGATATCATATTTCAAACATTCATAACTACCTTAATATTGGCCTCATTAATTTCAAACTTCCGTCATTTTGTTTTTCTTATTGTTCTACTTCCATACCAGTGAAGTTGATATAACAAGATGAGATTGCCCTTTGACTGTTTCGAATGTAAATGTGGAACAAATAAACTTAAAACTTCAAAAGATGCAGGGAAAAGGAGGGGAAGAATACGTAATGATGTTAAAGATGAAGTTGAGTTCTGGTCATGCGATTGCTTTGTGAAAGAAACGTTGTGGAATCGACCAGAAAGGTTGATCATCTAGCATATCAGAATTTGTGTATATTGCAAGGTTCTGGAATCATCAAAATGATAAGAAATTTGGCCAAGTATTGGTAAAGTTACAAACACTGTACACGGAAAGATGTATATGGGACTACCGAACACGTGGCGTAAAAATCCGTCCCTGGATTTTTAGGATGTTACATGACATATTTAGAATATGAAGGCATTTGAAGAGCCATGCTTTTCAGGGAACAGGTCTCATTTGATGTTCTTCCACACTTGCATAATAAGAATGGTAACGCTCACAAATTATTGTTCACCTCTTCCCAGAACTCAACCTTCTCTTTAATCATGACACATTGTCATTTTGTCAAGAAGATCTATCGCTTACACGCCTAATACATTCGACCCAAAGAATATGAGTAATGAATTAGATAACTGACAAGAAAATTTCGCGATGTATTATTAATTTGAGTACACAGCCATAGTTTTAATCATCACAAAAAGAATTGTTGCTCAAAATATCTTCTGGCAAGGTCTAATCTATGTTGTCATTTATCCATCTTGCTTTCAAAATGATGACGCTTAAATCCGAACAGTATGGTAATATCTGAATTGACTGAATATTAGAAAATAAAAGAAATCAGACGGATAGGTAGATATCGAAGTGTCGTACCGTCACTTCTGTGATGGGGGAGGGGGCACTAATTAGTATTTGTGAAATGAAAACGAGGGAGCTGGAAACGTTTCAAAGTTATATTTTGTTTCGGTATATTTTACCCTTGGGGTTTTTCCTTCTGTTTTACAGTCGAATTACTGTATTTCATTCGCTAAGGGGGGCGGGCCCCCATGAACCCTTAAATAGCTACGCCGATGGCCAGCCAATAATTGAATCGTGAACTGGAACATGGACTAGTATTGGGACGCCCATCGTAACGTGACTTGCTTTTCGTCTTTAGAGGGCGGAATGACACTTGATGTGTTGTGCTGCGGACAATATGTCTGTAGCCATTGTAAATAAGCGTTCATTCCTATTCGCATCTCCGTAACCAACAGTGGCGTGAAGGTTTTTCCAACACAAACTGTTTCGCTTGAAAAATCGGCATGCCATTCAAATATTACTTCGATTATGATAAAATGCAATGATAAAGCTTTCTTATTAATGTTAACGTTTAAAACTGTACATTATGTATTTGCATAATAATCATCATCGTATTTCTTTCTCTCTGTGTTTCTTTTCCCTTTTTATATATCTTCTTTTCTTTCTCTTCTCTCTACAAATCTTTAACTCTCTCTTTTAACCTATTGTCCTTTCTCTCTGTCTCGCTCTCTCTGTCCATCTGTGTCCCTCTCTCTCTCTCTTTCTCTCTCTCTCTCTCTCTCTCTCTCTCTCTCTCTCTCTCCCTCCCCCTCTCTCCCTCCCCCTCTCTCTCTATCTCTCATCCAGGATTCTGACGGGACGATAGTGGACCGGGGTTATAAGCGTGTTGCCGTGGTGGAGGACTTCTATACCATCATCCACAGTGTGCACGTCGGCAGCGACAGCAAGAACGGCAAGCATGCAGGCCAGAAGAGGACCTACCGAGCCGTAAGACACCAAGACACTATGAATATGACGGACAAAGAAAGAGGACAAAATATAAAGTTCCTCAGGTAGACAAAGGAACATCCCTTCACTGCTATTATGTACAAATGTGTAGAGCAGGGGAATATGAATGTGACACCTGTTCTACAGATTTGTACATAATAGCAGTGAAGGGATATTCCTTTATCTACCTGAGGAACTGTATACTTTGTCCGATTTCTTTGTCCGTCATGTTCATAGTGAGAGTGGTATTCCCGAAAGCGGACTAAATTTAGTCCATGGTTTGATCCACCGACTAAGAAAGGAATGCCAAGTGCCCATACAAATATATTTTTGATATATCCCTAACTTACCATGATAACATAATTATATCATAGTTATAGTGTTGTTTATTAATTATGTTATTACATTTTTTTTAAATTTAGTGACAGATTAAATTATCCAAAAACATATTCATATGGACACTTGGCATTCTATACTTAGTCGGTGGATTAAAGTTAGTCCGCTTTCGATAATACCACCCTTATATTTTTCCTCGACACAGTCTAGTACATATTAACAGCAAAACACCGAAAACAAAACAAGAAACGGAAATCGTTGTTGGTTCACCACTTTATTGATACTTTAGCAATAAAAGAACAGAAACATTATGATGAAGACATACATGTATGAACAAAGAAAAGGAAAATATAATAAGAAAAGCACGGAACTTGACCTTATTAATGGTGCACACAGGACAGGCAACGTTAAAAGATACAAATCATTCAAAGATACAAATTCTTTAAACTAGCTTTTATTATTCTTTCTCCTTACAGGAGATTAACATGAATTGAAAAAGTTATCGAAATTGAAACTAAAAGCAATTAATTTATTTATGCCGAAATATATAAAAACTATGACCCTAAGGCCTACTTAATGGTAATTTGAAAAAGAAACGAAAAACACCAGAGCCTACTCTTTTAGTCTGTCTAAAAATATACACGATGGCTTGCGGATCGAATATACAAACTTTTTTTAAACATGTATATTCTGTAGGAACTCAAGACAAATCCGCGACTTTATTTGTTCTTAAGGACCATTTTTTTTCTCATTCAGCTCTGTTTGAAATCGCTAAAAGCGTTATATAAAAATATTAGCACCGTATCAAAATAAAGTTAGCTGTGAAGTTGATGCGAAATACGTGGAACAGTCTTTTTAAGACTGTTGTTGATGCTTATTTTGAAATACATTTACATGGTTACTGAATTTTAATGACCTTTGACCTTGCAGGTTGCAGAAAACTATGCATTCCTTCCTCGAGAAGCCGTCACTCGATTCCTCATGAGCTGCAGTGAGTGCCAAAAACGCATGCATCTAACCTTTGACACGACCCAAAAGAATGGGGTCGCGCGCAAAACCAAAGATTCGACCAATGGGCGACAGGCGTGCAGTGACGCAGTCAAGGATATCGACTACAATCTACCAATCACAACGACGTATCTCAATCATCTACGGAACATGCGCATAACCAGATCGGAAACTATCGAGGTGAGTACAGTGATGAGTGGATAGATGAATGAATGAATGAATGACTGAACCATTGAATGAATGGGAGAGAAAAAATGGATAAATGGACGAATAACTACATGAATGAATGGATGAACGAAGCATTTAAAGAATTGATTCATGAATGAATGAGTTAATGCACATGTATGTATTGATGTTTGGATGAATTGATAGCTGAAAGCATGGATGGATTAAGCATGTAATGAGTTATGATGAATGAATGAATTAGTGCATGAATGAATGAATGAATCAGTAATAGATTACTGAATGAGAACATAAATGCATTGAATGAATTAAATGAAAGAAGCGAGAAATGAAGCCATAAATATTGGAGGAGCTAGAATGAATAAATTTATTAATTAACATATCAATGATTTAATAAAAATGTGAATGACATTAATGACTGCATATATAGAGAATAGGCTGAACGAATACATTAATTAATTAATGAATCGTGTGGATGAATGGATGGATAGATACATTAATGAAATTATTAACGAGTATGTTTTTTTAGATAATATTATTTGCGGACATGTAGGCAGCTCGGGGATAGGGGGCGGTCGGTAGCTCCAGCTAAACCTAGATAGAGCACTGCTTTGTACTTTTTCTATAGATATAATATAGACCGAACATTCGCCTGTTGATCATTGTTGTCTATTCGTACATGCTTGCGGTTTTTGTAATGCTGCCATCTTGCGTTCATACGGACACAGTTCATTCTCCGTCACTGCACGTTCTGTAAATAACCACATCGAGTGAAAATCACGGGTCCTTCGCTTTGATTGGGATGCATTTTCTTGGGTTGTATTTTCTTTCTTTCATTTCTTCGCTGTTGTTTTTTTTTCTTGGCCTTGTCCTCTCATAGGTGTCTCACTCGAGTGTGTGTTAAATATTTGACTTGATATTTAAAGGATTTTGGTTTAATCCCGGCACCGGGCTTCAAACGTAAAGGCATTTTTTTTAAAAATCTACATCGCTTTTTTCCTCAGATTATCTTTATTTTCCTAATGGATTTTATACCCATATAATCCTCTATTATGATATGAATTAAGTATCTAGAATATCTTGATATTTATTATCTTGTTTTTCCTCACTTTTTGATTTGTTTTTCTTCTAAACTTATAATAATTATATTTTCTACCTTCATATATCAAAGACAGTATCTCATATCTCCGAATATTTTTTCTTATATTATTTTAATTTTCCTGATCCATTTCACCCTTTCGTCTTTCCCATTTTCACCTTATTTGGGCATTATCTATACTGATCAAGTAAAGTATATCAGACATATTTTGCTCAACTTTCCGCCACCTTGGATCCAACGTCTTGTCCAAGAATAGCGGCAAACGATTCTCGAGGAATGAACGACATTGACTGTAGTGGCGTGGTCAGGAGCCGGTGCACGTCTCCCCCCCCCCCCCCCCCCCCTCCCGCAAAGAAAAACGAAGGTGATAAAATAGAAAGGGGAAAGAAAAGAAGAGCATACTGGAGGCTGATAAATTTGTCTCCTTCTTTTCCTCCTTCTTTTTGCTTTTGCTTGTCACAGAATTGTCGAACTAATGCCCCCCCCCCCCCCCCCCCGGTTGCAGAATCCTGGATCCGCCACTGGCGTGTGTGGGGGATCAAGAAGGGCATTAAAACTCATATACTTCAACACAGAGTAAATGTCCTTCTGTCTCCGAAAGACGGAGAAGAAAATCGTGTTCCCCTGAAATACTGCTTAGACTCTTTGTTGAATCCATACATGCCCACGTACGGGGGAGGCCATTCCCCTGTGCGGGCAATTAGGCGACCAGTAATTAGCGGACAAGCAGAAGAAGATGTTCCCCCATCACGGGGGAGACAATATCCAGTGTGATGCGATTTCACTCTGGGTTTTCTTTTTAGGGAGATGCATATAAGCCGAGTTATTAAAAGGAGAAACAAGGTGGATAAATACAGATTTGTCTTAGATTGTGGAATATGAAACGGAAGGGGAAATTGTTTTAATTTGATAAAGGCCGAGAGTTCAATTAAGCGAGGAAAAATAGAGAATATGTATATAAAATATGAGTATCATCATAAATATCAATAATAGAAGTAGTAGTAGAATTAGTAGACGTAGAAATAGTAGTAGTAGTAGTAGTAGTAGTAGTAGTAGTAGTAGTAGTAGTAGTAGTAGTAGTAGTAGTACAGTGGTAGCAATAGAAGTATTAGGATCAGCAGCAGCAGTAGAATAATGTCAGTAGTTGTTTAGTCGTGGAAGCAGATCTTCAAAAGGGAAGTAACTATTCGTCGTTTACAAAAAACAATAATTTTAAACCACTGTTAAGTTAATTTTCTTTATATTTCTTTCTTTCTTTCTGTGTCCTTTCTTTCCTTCCTTCAACTAAGCGGACACATTTATAAAATAGAATTGAATGAAGGTAATAAAGAATATGCCTACTGGTGAACAAATCACACGAAGCTGTAGGGAGTATGTCTGCCTTGTGGCTAAGCTTTGTTAATCACCTTTTGGATGGACCTCATTTTGAAGAGAAGAAGCCCTTCTCCTAATCCAAAGAGACAAAACATGATTCCAAAAGCAAGGTGCGGGGGGTCGCATTCACACTACCGTTACTCTTCATATTCAACATCTTTAATATCAAATTCAAGATATGGCATTGTGTTAAAGACTCCAGTAATGATTCGGTATGACTTGTAGAGAGCGATGACGATGAGGACATCGAGGCCTCATTGAAGACCAATTTTTAATCTGAATGAGATACCCTGTATAAATATGTGAAATAAATAAATAAATTTAAAAAAGGGTGGTGATTGTGATGATGGTGTTGTTGATGATGGTGACTATGTTGATGATGATAATAACGACGACGATGATGATGACGATGATGATGATGATGACGATCATGATCATGATTACGATGATGATGCAGAGGTCATGGTGGTGTCCCGCCCTTTCCCTATTGAGTACAACAAATGGAAGAGAGGGAGCCTGAGAGGGAGCCTGAGAGGGAGAGAGAGAGAGAGAAAGACAGGTGGAGACAAGGCAAGAAAGGGAGAGGTAAGGCAACGTGAAAAAAAACCAAAATATGATAGCCTCTCACCTCCTCCCTCACTCAATAATGCTCAACGACATTGTTGTATCATAATCATATCTACACAATTCGTTCAGCGAGTACAATCGGTGGACCCCTCCCACCCCCAACCTGACATCAGTGCCCCCCCCCCCCCCAATACATGGGCAATCACTACGTCTCTGATTAGCGCTCTATAAATGTGTCTTGTCTCTCTTTGTATGGCTTCAAATGTTTCTAGATCACGGTAAGTGTTAGTGGGAAAGGGACCAGGGCCTTGTTTGTTTCAAAATAAATTATTATCGATAACAAATGCTAAAATTATTTGACAAATTAGCCCTCAACCTATCAGATGCCACCATTTTAGCAGCTTATTACAGTTATTGTAACTTGTTATTGATAAAAAGTTTTACGAATCAGGGCCTAATTAATTTATTCTGAAGAAGAAAAAAATTGAACCTATTTGAATGTCATAACAAACATGACAAATATTATAGTTGTAGCGTTCCATAATGATTAATGATTACGCATGAGAATGCTGAGTAGATGCTTATAATTTATTAATTTAGACATCTGCGAAAGAAGAAATGAACTGTTGCATTTTAACATTTGCATTGGCAATGAAAACCATCCAGTAAAATCATAATAAAAAATATTTTCGTATTATAACCGCCCTCTATGTTCATTGAGAGGGTCACGGTGATATAGCCAAGAACTAAGACGAAAAAAAGATTTCAGGTAAATCGGCTCAAGGGAAATTTCAGTAGCGTATTTGTACGTTCACATATATAATGTTATCAAGGTTACGTAATATGGCATTGCAATGATCACACATTTCTAAAGGCGACGTACAATGCCATTGCATTATTGTCTTGGCTCGAAAAAGGAAAAAAATGAATATTTGATATGAAGTTAGTTATGTTAAATGAATTTTAAGAAAATTCTTATCAGTCTTTCCAAAATATCAAAGTATATTTTTCCTTCAAATTTGATGAAGGTACGTGTAGACTCAATTTCTACTTGAAATATAACAAATCATTTGGTCGTATTAGAAAACTCGTGCTCAGCTGACGATCTCAAGATAATATGAAACGAGTGAGGGAGAGATAGACAAGAAAGATGGAGAAACTGAAGGAAACTGGAGGAGAAAGGAGAGAGAGAGAGAGAGAGAGAGAGAGAGAGAGAGAGAGAGAGAGAGAGAAAAGAGATTGAAAGAGATGGAGAGGGATGAGACGGATATAAGAGAGATAGGGGGAGGGAGAGAGATGGGGAGAGAGAGAGAGAGAGATGAAAAAAGAGGGATGGAAAGAGTATCGGGGAGACAGATAGGGAGGGAAAGAGAGAGAAAAAGAGAGAGGGTAGAGAGGAGAGAAGAGGGATGGAGATGTGGGATGGGATGATGGAAATATAAAATAGGAAGGGAGGGGTAAAATCAAGCCATTAACAGACGAAGATAAATGACATTCGTCAAGGAGGAGGCGTGGTTAATATCAAAGATCATTACCTGAATAAAATAACATTTGCAGCCTAAAATTTTTGTTTAACGAAACAGAGTGTTTTCGGTGTCAAGTATAATTATATTCATACACCCACACATCAAAGCTATATAATTCCTTGTTCATATATTTCGTATTTTCGAAACCTTTTCATCCTATGAAACCTTAGAAACTTGACGTTTTTATGATTTGGTGTTGTCAATAGAAGAAATGAGGAATACTTGGTGGAAAGAAAAGAAAAAAAAGGTCGAAGATAAATATGCTCAAACCTCCACCATTCACCTCTCGCGAAACAATAGGGCCGGCAGGTTGCCTCCGCGGGTGATGCCGGAGAGATCCTCTTCAGGTTACCATGGCAACGCTAGCTTGCACTGTTAGGTTGTCATGGTGACGTGTAACCGGTGTGTCACTTGCGGTTTTGGGGGCCGAA